AGGAAGTTCCATTTATGCTTATTGTCACATAAAGCTAGACTCTGCAAATCATCATGGTCAACGTGTACTTTTGTTTGTGATCCTTGGCGATCAATAGAAAGCTTAAATCTTTATGGTAGTTGTTTTGTTATTTTTTAAATTAAACCCCAAACCTCTCTAGGATATATTTTCTGTTGATCTAGCCCAAACTTTCCTATCTAATTGTTTGTGATATAATGTCTTGGGTCAATTAGGGTCAAAGCAACTGAAGAGAGTTTGCTTGTTCAGAGAAATATGTGTAGCCCACAGAAATGCCCTTGCCTCTCACCGTGTTCTTGGAGGGCTCTACACCAAGCCTGGACTAGAAATTAGTTGCATCTTTTAGTAAAAGGATTACTTGTCTGACCCAGTACCTAAAGTTAGCGAAGCTTCTCAGCAAAGGAAATCCAAATGAACACATTTTCTATTCTAGGCACCGAGGAGCCCTGATTTAGGGCATACTCAAAGATGTCAATTACTTCACAGCGTTCAAATCTATTATTTCTTCATAGAACTGTTTCGGGATTGTGTGTGTGTGTGTGTGTGTGTGTGTGTGTGTGTGTGTGTGTCAAAAATCCCTTGGTCTAGTGACTGTTAAGACATCTTGTATGTCTGAGTCTTTTTTTTTTTAAGATATAAGTCAAAATAGGGATTCATTATTGGCAATATACTCACTCATGACTCTTTCCAAGGTTTGCTTCACTGGAATTAATTCAAATATTCTACATTTTGTCAATACATATATGTTTTTAGATAAAACTAAGAATAATTCAGAAATTTGGTCCATTGTTAAAAAACCAAAATTCTATGAACAAAATTAATCACTTATTAAAAGAGGTATATATATATATTTTTAAAAAGATGTATATTTACAAAAAGTTTAGGAGAAAACTGCAAAAAACGCAATGAGCAAATTCACATATTTTGCCTTTACTTTGTTTCATGGACCCACAGCTGGTCCTTTACTGAAGACAGATGCCATGCACATGGCAGGTTTAAAAAGTGACCTCACAGAAATCGCAGAGTGAATTCAGGAAATGACAAATGGGTTATCATGTCCATGGCTCCTACAAAGGCAGAAACACGGCCAATTCAAAAGAGACAAAATGCAAACAAAAATAAAAGCCCTTAAAGAACAATTACTTGATTAAGCTTAACAAATGGGGCAAGCAGTTATTAAGCACAACACTAAAAACAATTGATCTGATCCATATTTATCGTGCAAATAAGTTTGTTTTTTTTAAGAGCCATTCGATCAATTCAGACTCACAGCAACCTAAAGTACGGGAGAGTCGAACTGTGTTCCATAAGGTTTTCAGTGGTTGATAGTTCAAGTAGCTTGCGAGACATGTATTTGGAGGTGTATCTGGGTAGACTAAAATCTTTTGGTTAGCAGGTGAATCCATTAAGTGTTTTCAGCCCTTAGGAACTCCATGTCGTTGTAAAGTGCCCTCAAGTCAGTTTTGATCCAAAGGGACCTTATGTACAAAATGAAACACTTCCTGGTCCTTCACCATCCTCCCAATTTTTGTGTTGGAACCCATTGCTGCAGCTCCTACATCAATTCAGCTTGTCCAATGGTCTTCCTCCCCGTTGATGTCCTTCTACTGTACCAAGCATGATGTCCTGTTCCAGGGACTGGTCTCTCCAGATAACATGACCAAGGTACATGAGACAAAGTCCTGCCATCCTCCCTTCTAAGGAATATTCCATCTGTATTTTTCCCAAGACAGATTTGTTGGTTCTTTTAGCAGTCTGTGGCAGTTTTAATATTTTTCACCACCACCATAATTTAAATGCATTAATTCTACTTCAGCCTTTTTAGTCATATGCAAATCAGGTGGTTGAAAATAGCCTGACTTGGCTCAGATGCCCTTTAGTCTTCAAAGTGACACACCTGCTCTTCAACACTTTAAAGAAGTCTTACGCAGCAGGTTTGGCCAATGTCATGCGTCACTTGATTTCTTGACTGCTGCTTCCGTGAACATGGCTTGTGGATTGAGGCAGGATGAAATCTTTGACAACTTCAGTCTTTTCGCTGTTTCACATGATGTTGTCTATCGATCCAGTTGTGAGGATTTTGGTTTTCTGTGCATTGAGTTGCAATCCATATTGAAGGCTGCAGACCTTGTTCTTCAAGGCCTCTTCACTGTCAGCAAACTTGGATATCATTTGAATATCAAAGGTTGTTAACACGCTTTCCTCCAAAGCTGATGCCAAGTCTTTTTCACCTAGTGCAGCTTCTCTGACTATTGGCTCAGCATACAGATAGAATAAGTAAAGTATAAAGGATACAACCCTGCCCATATCTTTCCTGGCTGTAAACCAGGCAGTATTCCTTTGTTCTGTTTCTTGATCCATGAACAGGTTTTGCATGAACACAAAGAAATGTTCTGGAATTCCCATTCTTCTCAATGCTATCAATAGTTTGTTATCCACAGAGTTGAATGCCTGTACATAGGCAGTAAAATACAGTCAATAGGTTTATAGTTTCTCTGCATTCAGCCAAGATCCAGCTGGCATCAGCAGCGATAGTCCTTGTTCCAGGCCCTCTTCTGAATCCATCTTGAATTTTGGGCAGCTCCCTGTTGGTGTTGTGCTGAAACCATTGCTGAATTATTTTCAATAACATTTTACTTACATGTGATATTAATGATAAAGTTCTATAATGTGAGCATTCTGTGGGGTCAACTTTCTTTGGAATGGGTACACATAGAGAAGCTCTTCCAATCAGTGGACCAGGTTACTGCCTTCCCAGTGTCATGGGACAGATCAGTCAATGTGCCCAGTTACTCATCAGCTTGTTGAAGGATTTCTACTGGTATGATGTCACCTCCTAGGTCTTTGATTTTTGCTACTTCTCTGAGTGCAGCTTGGATGTATTCCTTCAGTACCATTGGTTCTGGATCACAGGCTACCTGTTGAGATGGATGAATGTTGGCGAGTCCTTTTGGGGATAATGACTGTCTATGTCATCTATCTTACTTTGATACTTTCTGCACCATTCAATATTTTGCCCATAGACTTTGTCAATATTGCTACTCAATGGTTAAAGTTGTTCTTCAGTTCTCTCTGCTTTATATGCGCTGAGCATGTACATCCTTTTTTGGTTTTCTAATAATGAAGTGAAAAAGCTGAACAGAAATTTTCAAAGGTGACCCTGGGAAGACAAAGTATTATCATGAAATGGATAAAAGCCTGGAGTTAGAAAACCCAAAAGAGACTCTATGCACATATGTAACCGATATAAACCAGTATTTAAACTACTTCAGAGCATCCAGTGTTGCAAAACACCATCTCTGTGGGAAAGTAATAGGTTTTACTTGGGGTGGGGTGGGGGCAGGGAATTCATGATACATTACACTTGGAACGTTGCGGTTTGACAGAATCAAATGTGTTTCTTTAAGAGAGGGTATTCCATGGACTTTAATATACCAGGGTGTGTCGAGCAGAAGCGGGAGGTGGCGGGCAGGTGAGTGGAAAGCTACCCGGAACTGGTGGAAACACTTCAAGGATGCTGTGAGAGACCAGGCCATCTCCTGCCCTTCGGTGGTCTTCCAGACCCAGATGCAGAAGACTGACCATTGCAGATAACATTGAACATTGTTGCTTAACCCTGAATCTGCAGACAGCAAAGTCCCAATGGAACATTCAGCTACTGCATCCCCTAAGACCAGGGCTATAAAACTCTCCACCTCTCACCTGGACAGCATGACTTCGAAGGCCCCCAGCTGGGGACCCGTGAACCTTACACGGGAGCTCTGAGATAAACCTTTGAAACTATTTTCTGCCTTTGCCTTCTTTCCTTCTTTCTGTCACCAAATCTACCTTACAATGTGCATGTGCATCTCCCAGCTAAAATTACAGGTGTGTCATGTTTTCTCAAGAAAGGGATCCACTTGGCTTATGGAGCATCTCTGTGGGACCAGTTTCCTCTGTGCAAGTGGGAGGACCTCTCTCACGGTACTTAGCCTGTTTTTCTGATGCATCAAGGGTCTACACTGGACCAGAGGGGCCACACGGCAGCCTGCAATACCCTCCCTCACCTGGAAAGAACAAGGCTCTCAAGGCAGGGTCTCGATCCAAGTTCATTTCCTGCCGAACTCCATGGATACTGACTCAGGAGGAAAATACACAAGGCCAGGACTTTATATGCACCACCCAATCCAGCCATTCCCCATCCAGCCCACCAAAGGAGAAAGGGAGAAAGAAAAGAAAAAAACCCAAACTATACGCACTGCCATCTGTTCAATTCTGATGCATGAAACTGCCCCATTGAGTGTCTAAGTTTGTAACTTTACCGAAGCAGACTGCCAGACAGTTCTCCTGTAGAGCAGCTAGAGGTTTTGTACTGCTGACCTTTAGGACAGCAGGGGATCAGTGTAACTACCGTCTCCCTCGTGTTCCTTTCTTTAGCCCACCCTGCAGGTGAATTGCTGAAAGACCTAAGGAATCTTGTCTGTAGGGCTATCCATTCTCACAACAGATTGTACCTTAAAATACATACCTTTTCAATGTTTCCTATTAAGTCTTTTCTGCTAGTGATGCGTCACAGGATCCATAAGATGAAAAGTTAATTCCATATTCTGAAATTAGCTCGCTGGTCATGTGCCTCAAAGCAGCCCTGATGGTACAGTGGGCTAAGCTTTGGGCTTCCAGCCAAGAGGAAGATGAGGCAATCTGCATCCATGCAGTCAGCCTCAGAAACTCTAGGGAGCAGTTCTACTCTGTTCTATTGGGTCACTGTGAGTCGGATCCACTTGAGAGCAGTGGGCTAGCATGTCCCTCTGGTTGCCCTGGGTGTGCAAAGAGCTAAGGCTTTAGCACAAACAGAAAGGTTGGAAACAACAACAACGGCCCAGTGGTGTCTAGGATATGGCAGAACTGGAGTCTGTAGCGGAAAGCCTTGAAAACCCGATGGCGCAGTTCTGTGCACACGGGGGCCTCATAAATTGGAGCAGACTAGAGGGTAACTGGTTTATTTGTCTGTTTAATCATGGGCTCACAGTGTGACAGGTCCAGTGGGGGGAAGACTAGCAGTAGGCTCCCCCTTTTTCAGGCTCTCAAACGAAAAATTATAACTGTAGCAGAAAGCAAGATGACCCAGAAAGGGAGGCATTCTTCTCAAGAATTAAATCTACCCTCCTTGAAATGGGGCTGAGATGGGGAGATTTTCAAATCCAGAGCAGGATGTATCCTTTAGTAATATGGCAGGGGGAAAAAGCTGTAACTGTCCGTTAAAAGAACGTTAGCAATAACCCTCCCCCTCAATATTTCAGTTTGCAAACCCCCAGTTCAGTCCTCAGATGTGACCCCTTTCCTGCGGGGAGATCTCAGTGCTCCAGCACTTTATGATGTATTTAGGCATATCAGACATATAGTAGGTCACGAGAGAGGCTACAGGAATGGAGATGAGCCCTCCTGTCCTGTCCTACAGGTCCTGGTATAGATGCCAGCTGTTAGACAGGAAGCTGCATCTCCTTTTCCTCAGTCTCCCTGGCTGTCTGGAGCTGTAGGATCATGACCTGCAGAGTTTCCTTCACCGTCTGCAGCTCCCTCCTGAGAGACTGTTGCTTGTGGTTAAGGAAGACCTTCTGAAACGGCTTCTGATGTAAGGCTGGCTAGTCACGGGGGCAGGTGGGCGCTGCCATGTAAATGCAGTTTCAACTTCAACCAAATTGTAAGAATTAAATATTAATACACATATTACATTTCTTTTTTAAAGAATGGTTGTCATTTCTACAAGGCCTTAGGTTATTGACTGTCTGAAGTAAGGTTTCAAAGAGAAAAAGGAACAATCTAATAGAAGATCAAGCAGGATGCAGCCCCAACTGGGGTAGATATCTTTTATATGAAAGAGAGCCAGAATTTGGCCCCACCATCACTACAGAGAGGCATACCGTATTGCATTCAGACGCATGAATTCAGGGCCCCACTCACCCGTATAGAAGACTTGAATTATGCAAATCACTCTGAACCTCAGTTTTCTAATGAAATGACTGATGCCTTTTGAAGTCTCTAGGCTCTACCCTGGTGTGACCTGGTGATTATTATACTTCTAGGCACTAGTATAATAGCCTCTAAGGTACTCAAGATTGATTGGGGCTTGCATTATCTATATTTGTTTACTTTCCCTTAGGCCACTAGGTATTTTTATCTCCTAGTCTGTGATTTCTCACATAGAAAAACAACAGCTCTTTGCAAATAGTAATCCAAAATAAATAAGACAACCGTTCTCTTAATAAACAGGTTCCCTTCTGGGGTTTAAAACTGGGGAAAGTTCACCCGCAGTGGTTTTTGTCTACACATAGTATGGTCCTGTTTCCCTTTAGTTATGTAATTACAGTCAGACTAACCTCATCCCAGAGAAACAAAAGGAAAGTGAAAATATATTGACACCACTCGCATGGGGTAGATCGTGTATGGAGAAAACGCCATAGCTTTGGGGAAGGTAGCTTGCAGAGCTGGTACTGTTTCTAGGCCATTTGAAATGTTATTTGAATATTATGTCGATGCAGCATCAAGAGAAAAAGACACCCCCAGGTTATGTCTGCAGAAAGCTTTTCTTTTCCAAACAAGAACTCCAGAGGTCCGGGGGGTTGCAAGTGAACCTCTCCCAGGCAAAAGTGCCGAAGGACAGGGATAAGCCCTTGGCAGCTTTTCCTCCTCCTGAAGCCTCATCAGACATCAGCCGTTATGTCATTTACATGCCTTTTATAGATGGTTCACTCCTCACACTTGAACTAGGAGAGGAATAAAGTGGGATTGCAGTAAAAGGGAAGAAATAATGTAGCACTAATCCCCCCCACCCTGCTTTTTAAAAGGCCTCATTTGCCTCCATTTATATAGAGCGCTTGTCTAACCATTAGTGAACACAAAATCTTAAGTTGTCCCATATACCAAATACCAGAAGGCAATTTACACTATATTGATAAAGAGTAAGCACAGAGCTTAAGCAGTTTATGAATCCTGACAGACTCCTGAGGTTTCCTTACCTTTGGCGTGCAACCTGAGACTACAAGCTGCTATTTGTAATATGCTAAATGATTGCAAAGGATTCAGAGAGAGAGAGTGGAAAAATGGGACAAAATGACATGTTTCTTTTAGGAAAAAACACCACCACCAACTTCATAAAATGTATAGCACTGGTAGAATACGCTAGAAAGGTCAGAGAGCACAAGGGAGAAGCCACTTGGCAGAAATGAACTGATAGAAACATAGCCCCAGAGATCCCCGGGAAAACAATTTCCGTTCCATATGCAAATGAGAAGACTCATATTTGAGGATGCCATTGACCTGCTGTAGGAAACTAGGTATATCATCACTGAAAGATGTATTCGTCTCACGTGTATAAAGAAGAGTCTAATGCCATCTTCACAAGGTTAGGGTTCCAAGCAATCTTTTGTTCTTGTGAAAATGTGATGCCATTTGTGAGGCACCAGGAGATACAAGTTGTGTTTCGCAGCAGAACAGATGAAACAAACGCTGTAGGCTCTTCCCAGGCAGCTCTAGACATGGGAGAGTCTGAGTACCTCATGTAGTTAGTGGTAGTTTAACTCGAATCGATAGAATTCAACTCAGACTGGTATTTTTAAAGTCCTTCTATCTAGTCAGTCCACCTGCATAATTCCTTACTAAATGTGAGTTCCAAAGCCTTTTACAGTGAAATGGAAGCATTCAAGGTAAAATGTGGAGTTTGGTCAGTGGGGGTGAGGGTGGGGAGGGGAGAGCAAATTTTAGAATTTTTATGGAAGAACTCTAATTTCGAAGGGGAAAAAAGGTAACAGATTATTACCTGAAAACATTGTGAGAACATACCCAAGGCCATGTACGTGTCTGCCTGGATGCTGCAGCGTCCGTTGGAAATCGTGGAGTCTTTGGAGCGGAGGGCAGCACAATGGCTCCAACGGCTTTGTTGAGCAAAGGGAAGTGGGACAGAGCATGTGGACACACATCAGAAAGTCACTGCGATCATTAAGGCATGAAAAGATGATGCCTTGAACAGGGTACGGGCAATGCAGGTGGTGAGAAGTTGTCAGTCTGGAATGATTGAAAGGCACAGCCAAGAACATTTGGTGAAAGATTGGATGTGAACGTGAAAAGAAGAAACGGGATAAACTCCTAGTTTGTTTGTTTCTTAATCTGAGTAAAGAGTGGGAAAAGATACCGGTCGGTTTTGCAATGCAGACAACTGAGAACGACTTGGCGTGGTGCAGGTAATTACCTGATACCGTTTTAGCCACAGTCTTCATAACCCCCACTGAAGGACTGGGTGTGACCATCCATAGAAGGTATGTGGAACACTAACATAGGAACTGACCAGTTCTGGCATCCCACCGAGTTTAAAATGAGCCATATCAGGAAAAAAAAAAAAGAGCAGGGTTCTCATCATCATCAATAAATAGAAGTGAGATGAAACCTTTGGATCCTAAGGTCCTTGCAGATTAAACCTCCTGGGTCCAAGCTGTGACCTCAAAGTGTGGTAGAGAAGTGGTGAAGAAGTAACAGAGGCTACACACCGAGAGCAGGGAACAGGGCAGTGGGATTTCCAGCCAACAGAGTAAGGGAGCTGAGTACCTCTGGGCAGGAGGCTCACTTGCAGAGTAGGGTGCCTCTAGGCATAAATTAGGGGAGCTAGGTTTGCTGACCAAAGGTACTAGAGCTGAGTCCCTTTGGGCTGAGGCTCGTGATGGAGAGGAGTATCCTTTAGGCACTTAGAGACAGAACTAAAAGAGCTGTGTACCATTGCTTGAACAAGGCAGAGATCAGCAGGCGGTGTGACTGAGTCTGAGGACCAGAGAGGGAGCCCACGCCAACGACATGGCTGAAAAGAGGCATTCTTCAATAAAGAGCTGCATTGGTTCCTTTTCTGATCCTGCCGCTTCTTTGATCCTGAATACTGTTAACTTCCCCAATAAACCCAATGTATTATCTGTAAATTCTGTGTGTGGCCTCCATTGAGATGGAATATAGAAAAGCAAAGAGTGAGATAGGAGGGGTGGTTGGTATTCGAATTGGTAAAGAAGGAAAGAGGATGATAACCTGTCTGACTTCTCCTTCATAGGAACTGGCCTTGGCTGATGAAATGTTGGATTTCTCTGCCCGCCCCCAACAGTCGTAAAGCAAAGTTTTGGGTGGAGAGTAGGGAGTAAAAAGGAGGATGTTTGTTTGGGGACATAATAAGTTGGGGAAGCTAATTAGTTCAGAGATGTTGACTCTCAAGTAAACATGAGCTATACATTTGAATTTACATTTGGTACAATTTGAAAAAGTTGAACCAAACAAATATTTTCTGTTACTTTCCTAAGGGATAGGATTTGTACGTGTGCCTGGATGTACTTAGAGGCCTTGCATGGCATCAAGCACCACCAAAACGAATCGATTGGCTGCCATGCATTTCAAGTCAGCAGGGAGGATAGAATTCCGTCAGGGTCTCCCAGACATGGTTGTAGACAGAACTGCAAATAGAATCGGTCTGCCCATCTCACCTATGATTCTGAGACAAGCAGAACTGCCCAAGCAGCTTTACTGGGCATTGTAGTGTTTTATCTTTCCTTTGAAAGCATATTATAGAAGTTGAAGAAGAATAAAAATGAGAAAAGTCCAGCATATGCATCTTCCTAATGAAGAAGGTTTTCAGGTAAAGCATTTTGAAATTACAGGAATTATTACACATGTTCAAAATATCTATCAAAACCTAACTGTTAATTATGACGCAATAGGACTCTAAAATTGTACTGGGGATTCAAATGACTGCTCCTGGAACTCTGGGGCTGACGAGCAGTGAAGTAAGCAACCTCCAGCCCTCTCTCCAGACACCAGGTCTGAGTCACCACGTCGCTGCTGGCTTCCAATTAATGGTACAGACTGTGCTCAGACACTTGCCCCAAGGTACTGACTAGTTTGTGTTATTTGGTCATGCTACATGTAATTTCGTGAACCCGTCAGGATGATGAAGAGACATAACCTGCTTGCACATCTAGTCATATTTTTCAACCCAATGTTTTCTAGCAAAAGCAGGAGGCTGCCAGCCAACTACCTGTATTTCCAATATTGAGTCGGGATGCCAAGAGAACCTGTTTGGAAACTCAACACTACTGCCATTATTAGCCTAGTCCAGACTAACAATGCCAACATATATAGTTTGTGCAAAGCTCAGAGCCTTACCTAAGAAGGATGAAAACATAATAGCGACCAGGGCTTGAATCTTCTAACGTGGACCTACATTAACTAGGTTCACTATGTATCATATGCACGGTAGGTTTTGGCAAAGTACTTGATGCATCAAACAAAATATTGCATTCTGTGCAATTCTTAGGTTTTATGAGAGGTGAGCTTCTTTCGACCAGCCTCAGCTTTTTATCTTAGATCAAACACAGAAACACAGACCAGTCATAGTTTGGCTGGAAAAGTTTGGCAGGCTCTTTGAATCTCTAAGCATATTCTCATACGAAGCAACATCTTTGGTTTATGTAAGGGTAACTCATAAATCTGTCTTTCCATCTCAGGCTATAGAATTCCACTCATATCTAGTGCCTCGATGTACAAGTACAAAAATATCTTGTGTGCTTTGATTTTTAATTAGTGATGGGAACAAAGCTGGGACTTCATCAAAAGCTCTGTGTGGAAATCCACATGGTGGAGTAGATGTGGAAGGCGGAGGATACTGGCTTTAGGACATCAACTCGTGCCTCCCAATACGGATTTGACAGTTCCCACTATGTCTCCACTTACCTCAGCAAAATTTTCACACACAAAGATCCAATGCAATACTTTTGATATAGCAAAAGATTTTTAAAGTAGTTGTATGTTCTGCAGAACAAAACCATTAAATTTATAGTTACATCTGCCTTTTAATGGACCAAGGACTAACCCTGGGCTTGTGATTAGAAGATTCTGCCATTCTTTAGAAATGACCTTGGATGGGCTAAATAGTCTCTAACGCTCAGCTGTCTCAATTGCCAAGTAGGGCTAAAATCCCTATCTATAGTATTAGTATAGAATTAAATCCCTATCTATAGCATTAATGTAGAAGTAAATCCCTATCTATAGCATTTGTGCTGGAATTAAATGATTTATCATGTGAACCATTGTGCTCCTGAAGATTGGCTTATTCAAGCATTTAGCACAAAATAATTGAATCAACATACCTGGAAAGCATTTCACAAATGAATGTGATGTGATTTCAGCTTGTGACACGGCTTGCAAGAAGGGTGAGAAAAATGGATTTAAAGGACACGATTTTCCACCCAAGAGAAGAGCTCTCATAAACCAAGTGCTATTATATATTAGAATTACACTACACATATACCTTATGAATATAGCTTCATTTAGGCTCAAAGAAAACCCTCGAAGTAGGTGCTATCATCCGGATGTTGCATATGAGGATTACAAAGCTTAAGGTGTTTCTATAACTCTTCTATAAGCCTGTAGCAATAGAATTGGCTGTGAGAAAACTTAAAGGGCCTCCTGTAAACACTTAGCTGTTCTCCCTGCCTCTTCAGCCCTTTTAAAGGGGGGTGTGTAAGTAGGGGCTTGAGTGGGGAGGGCAAATTCCTGCAATCAGGCCCACCTTCTAGAGCATTTCAAAATAAGAGGGCAACAAACACTCTGACTGCAGCTCTCAGGACTGTGACCTGACTCACCTAAAACCTAAGATACAATCCTTTGAGGGACAACCCCCTCTAAATGCTGTCGCCAGGGCATCCTTTATGTCTTGTGGCCCTCTGCACTGCCTAGCTCCTGTGTGCCCATCAACAGACAGTCACATGTCAATTTTCTGGAGGTCTTGACCTCTCAAATACACTCAGGTCAATGACCTCAATGGACTTGGTACAAAAATCCAAGCCTTCTTCAACCACATCTTTGAGCAACTTGCTACGAATGACTTAAGTACAAGTTTTGCAAGAGGCAGAACATTATGAAATGCCTGCCTTTCAAAACCTATCTTGACAGCACTTACAGCCGCGATGTCCAAGATATCCCAGTGGAGTCATGGTTGTCAGAACCCACTACCTCTTTTGTCCCCCAGAAACTTATCAATAAAATGGTTTTACCCTATTAAAAAAAAAAAAAACCCACTTGAGCAATGTGAAAAAAAATCACTAATTTGAAATTTCTTCCCATGTTTAAAAAGCAAGGTCAAGATTTTAAAAGTTTTACTAAGGAAGGAAACACATTGTCAAATCCATCATTAAATTGTGGCTCTGGATACTTGTTGATTAACATCAATCTCAGACCATGTAAGGATCTGTAAATACACACACATGTGATAAAGTCTGGTAAAAATGGCAATGCTAAAAAGTACAGCAACAATGAGAAGCAGAAACCAAAATAGCTACATTTTCCACAAATTCATCTCATAAAAGTTGTGCTACTAAATATAAAGGATAAATGAAGAAGAAAATGTTTTTAGCTAGAGAATTGTCAACTTGTAATTACCTAACTGGAAAGATAGACATGGGATGAGACAGAAATATCCCTTCATCCAATTGTGTATCCATCCATCTACCCTTAGAAGAAATAACCAGTGATGAATGAATTTATCCACAGATAAAAATGCAATACACAGTGCTTCATATGAATGCACAGTGCTAAGCCAATATGTTCTAATTCCATCTCTCTCATTAGTAGCTAGTATTCATAAAGGAATTTGCAAATACTGACAAAAGAAAATCCTATTGTTAGGAATGGTAAAGAGCTGTACTGAGTTCAACCTACATGTACCTGGGAATGGAAAATCACTGACCCCAAATCATGAGTTTTTGATACTCTGCTGCCTGCTGCAAAGCGGAATTAATATGAAGATGGATTTTGATTTCTTGATATTGAGCGAAGCTGACAAAGTTGAGTGAATCACAGTTTAGTTCTGACTCTTTCATTTATAATACCATAAACCCAGCTGTAAGTCTGTTGAGAAACTGCATTCACTTCCGTTTCATTATGTGCATGCCTAAATTTGAGGTTTCATCTTTAGGGGTCATGTTTAGCAATAAAAAATATTGAATTGCTTACTGAAAATTAGGGAGGAAGTAATAAATACTGAATAATCTTAGAGATCTGAGGTGTGCCTTGCTATGAAAAACAGCTGCATCTATCTGTTTCCAAGTGCAGAGGCATGGGGAAAATGTGTAATTTTTAAAGACATCTTTCATAAAATAACAACCTAGCAAGTACTTAATCTGCAAGATGAAAAGGATATGAATGAGATCTTCATTATGACAATGAATTGCTGTGTGAAGTTGATCTTCTAAGTTCAATAACTTCTTGCCTATAGCTTCACATTTTTCTCCAAATTCTTCAGAAAGGATGTAAGACTCCTGGGCAGAACAAAAGGGAAGACATCATTGTCAGTTTCAGACATTTTTCACGGGGGACCAGAGAGAAACTTTATCATTGCCACGCTAAGGGATGATTTCCTAGCACAACAATCCCACGTTGGGCCCCTTAGTCAGTATCTTGTGAGAGCCTCGGTTTTCCCTGAAAGCCACTCTTGAATAGACTAGAACCACATGTCAAACTGTGTCTACACGTCAGACGGTGCAAGATAGGACAAAATAATAATTTATAAATTATCAAGGACTCATGAGGGAGTAGGGAGCAGGTAGGGAGGGGTGGAAATGAGGACCTGATGCCAGGGGCTTAAGTGGAGAGCAAATGTTTTGAGAATGACGAGGGCAATGAATGTACAAATGTGCTTTACACAATTGATGTATGTATGGATTGTGATAAGAGTTGGATGAGCCCCTAATAAAATGATTAACAACAACAACAACAACAAAACTGTGTCTACAAAGCTGCAGAGGCTCTCTCTCATCTCTGGTCAATTCAATAAACCAATGTCAACATGTCAGCTCTCCATGTGAATTTCCCAAGGGAAGAATTACTCTTCCAGCTTGCATCTTTATGCAAGATAGCAATGTAATAGAAATTCTAACAAAAAGAGGAGGATTTCACTGAGCTTACCTGGGAATGGGAAGGGATACCTTTAGGAGCACAGGTATCTAATAGAACGTGGAGCGCTGCTTTCCACACTGACCCAAATCTCTGAAAAGGAGAGCGTCTAGGAGACTTCGAATGCCATGAGGTAGGTGTTACACATATACAGCCACCACCATGACCACCAGAGATGTTCTTTTTCTTTCTCGGAAATGTAAACCCCAGAGCTCCGAGCACCAGGTCTTTGGGTACACCGTTTGTTGGATGGGTTCATAAACAATTATGTCTTGGATATCTCTCCTTTATGTTTTCCAATTATAGCCCACCTCCCTGCCAGAAGCAGATCCTCTTTAAGTCGTTTTCCTGCTCAAAACGACACAGAGCAGAGTCCAAACTTTGACATTCTGTGACCTGGAAATAGTTCCATCGCCTCAACTCTCCCATACACAACCGAATCTCTGCCGTGTGAATGGATCATTGTCTTTCCTCAGACCCTTCGATCTGTGCATTCGCTCCCATCCTTCCTCCTAAAGCCATTTCGACCTTTATTGCCAGCTATCAAACTACCTAGTAATTATTCTGATCTATGTAAAGTCCCCTCAAGGAAATGTAACCTCTATATGGACAAGAATCATGGGTTAGTCATTCATTTCAGATCACCAAGTATAATGTTAGCATATACAAGGCCACATATTAGTAAAGGAACAGAATGAACATTATCAAGAAAATAGGGAATCTTGAAACAGAGGGGAAGGAAAAGAGAAGAAAAATTAACTAAGCTTAATCACATATACAATTTTCCAACTAATTATGAAAGACAATGTACACAATAAAGAATTAACCATCCAGGAAAGAAGATATATATTCATGTTACGCTGAAGGTTTACAAAGAAAGCCACAATTAACCCAAAATAACAATAAAATACCCAGGGGTGGTAAGACTTACTCTTAAAAAGTATTTAGAGATGCTGAACTTTATATCTGAGTCCACAAAAAACAAGACAATCTAAATATGTAATTTAACATTCTCTATATCAAGTGTGGCATTGTTAGTGACCAGTAAGGTGATTTCAATTCATGATAATAACTCATATCCCATATGGTCAACAATATTATAATATCTTAAAGTATACTATTGTGAGTATTGGAGAGGTCTACTTGGCTGAAAGTAACTGTGCATGTGAGAGAAAATCTAGTGACAACAGCATACAATTTCAGAGACATATGGCCACAAACAAGAAGATGTGGAGAAACAGGAAGATTTTTTCATAATGGATTACTATAGCAGTGCTGTTGAGGAGTTAGAAAATCCATTAAAAAACACACGTACTTTTATACTTTATTGCTCCTAGAAGCAATAGCATTATCATGAAAGGACGCAGAATGACAGGGAAAGTGATAAAGAAGCAGAGATAAAGGGCAATGAATACGATATTGGTCATGCAAGAAATAAATGAAGCACTAAGAACAAGAACTTCCAGAGAAAATGAGTGCGTGGTGAGACCACAAGCCACACAGAAAGGAGAACAACTTAACATAGTTACAACTGAAAGCACACTTAGAGAAAACCAGAATCAGAACATGGAATCAAATAATTTAAGACGCTCAAATGAAATCAACTCACTTGATCCTCATATTAAGCCTAAACCAAATATGAGATCAATGCTGAATTAGATAAAGTTAAAACATAACTTTACAAATCCAAACGTAGGAGGAACCTTCAAAAAGTTCATGGGAAACTGCAATTAAGAGACAATAGATATTTTCCATGAACGTTTTTAAGCCTCTTCATATCATCTCTGTTTCTTCTTGAGAATAATCTAAGATCATGTAGCAAAAATTTTACATCGAAAATGGTGGACTAGGCACACAGGCAACCCAGCTGTTCTACAACAAAGACCAGACCAAACCAAACTCGCTGCTCCTGAGTTGATTGCAGTTTCGAGCAACCCTCTAGGACAGGCTATAACGGCCCTTGTGGGTTTGCAAGACTGTAGAAAAGCCACCTCTTTCTTCTGAGGAGCTGCTGATAGATTTGAACTGCTAACTTTGAGGTTAGCAGTCCCACACGTAACCCGTTCTGCCACCAGTGCTCCTGAAACCAAGGTAAGATGTCCAAAGTGAAACAGATCCAAGTGTAATCCTGGAACCCTGAGCTTCAGAGGAAAGAAAAGAGAAGTGGATTGAATATTGACTATGAGAGGAAGCTAAACAGAAATGGCAAGCAAAAAGTAAAATGGAAAGGTGAATTGTCACCTGGCCGGACACAGTGGAGCCATTTGATTGGGGCATTGACTTGATAGCCAGCTCTCTACTTGAAGGACTACAAGAGTATCCACATCAGGAGGTGCTGAACAGAAAGGTCCAACCTTTCCCTTATTCTCTACACCCTCTCCATGACCAGAAGCCCCAAGCCAGTGCCTTCCCAGAAGTGTGGTCATTGACACACCTTCAAAAGTGTATGGAATCTGATACTTTGAGAAACAATAGCCTCGCAATTTGTATTTTTAAATTAAATTTTCTATGATTATAGCAGTACTTACCCTCATATTACACATGAAATCCTATAGTAACCAACTATGTAAACAGAAATACAAGCTAATTGTGTGTTTAAGAGCGAATGGGACCATGCAGACAAATACATGGATTTGAGAGAGTTATTTCTACATATGTAATTACCAATATGGCAAAAACATCTATTGATATATAATAGGTAGGCAAAAGGTTATGGAAACTTCTTACCCATAATAGAATACCTTAAAGGAATAAGTTGTTGAGCCTGGGGCTCAGGACGATAGTCTTGGAGGAAAACAAGGTCAATTAGCATAACATAGTTCTCGTAAAAGATGTTCTAACATATCAGCTTGTGTGATCACGAGGTGGCTAATGGATCACTGAAGACAAATGGGTGCATAAGCAAATGTGGCAAAGAAAGCTGATGGTGCCCGGCTATCAAAAAGTATAGCATCTGGGGTCTTAAAGGCTTGAAGGTAATCAAGCGACCATCAAGCTCAGAAGCAACAAAGCCCACATGGAAGAAGCACACCAGCCTATGCAACCACGAGGTGTCGAAGGGATCAGGTGTAAGGCATCATCAGAACAAAAAATCTTACCATAGTGAATGATGGGGGGAGTGCAGAGTGGAGACCCAAAGCCCATTAGTAGGCCACTGGAGATCCCCTTGCAGAGGGGTCTCGGGGAGGAGATGAGCCCGTCAGGGTGCGATGTAACAATGATGAGAAATACAACTTTCCTCTAGTTCCTAAATGTTTCCTCCCCGTTCCCACTACCATGACTCAAATTCGATCTTGCAAGTCTGACTAGACCAGAGGAGGTACACTGGTACAGATAGGAACTGAAAATACAGGGAATCCAGGACGGATGAGCCCTATAGGACCAGTGGTGTTAGTGGCGAAACGGAGGGTGGAGGGAGAGTGGTTAGGAAGGAGGGAACCGATTACAGGGGACTATATGTGACCTCCTCCCTGGGGGACAGACAACAGAAAAGTGGGTGAGGGGAGACGTCGGACAGGGCAAGATATGACAAAATAACAATTTATAAACTATCAAGGGCTCATGAGGAAGGGGGGAGCGGGGAGGGAGGGGAAAAATGAGGACCTAATGTCGGGGGTTTAAGTGGAGAGAAAATGTTTTGAGAATGAAGTACAAATGCGCTTTACACAATTGATGTGTGTATGGATTGAGATAAGAGTTGTATGAGCCCCTAATAAAATGTTTAGAGAAAAAAAAAAGATGTTCTAAATCCTACTTTGCTGAGAAGCAAATGGGGTCTTAGAAACGTATAAATGACCAGCCAAGAGGAAAGCTGGTTGTCTCTCTCTCTCTCTCTCGAGCAGAGCAGCGTGAAGAAGACTGAAGACACATGGAAAGTTTGAGTCCTGTGGACTGAGGGATCACACAACCTAAATTTCCACAACTCTGAGATAAGAATAACTAGACGGTGCCCCAGCTCCCACTGCAGAAGGCTCTGCAAAGGAAGGTGGTGGAGAGAGTGGGAGAAAAATGTAGACCCAAAATCAAAATCATAAAAGAGACTAGGCTTCTTGGTCAGATAGGGATCACTGGAACCGCAAGACATTGGCTCTGAGTCACCTTTCTGGTCAGGAAATGAACTCAGCTCATGACTCAATTTTCAAAAACCAACAGAGAGGTCTACAAGCTGAACAACACAAGAGGATACACACAGAATTAAATTGTGCTTTTCAGTATATGTACTGCAGGGCTGAGGAGCCTATGGAGAGAGCAAGTAGAATAAGGATTCCTGGGAAGAACTGTGTGTGTGGTGGGGGGGGAGGGGGCGGGGGCAGGTAAAAGGGAGCTGATGCCCAGGAGTTCAAGAAGGAAGAGCATGTGACACAAA